CCATGGCCTTTCCCCTCAGGCAGGGATCAGCACCAAGACCGCTTCCAGTCCACTCTGATTGACTGACGTGGTTCTGCGATTTTATTAGTGGGATATTGGGCGTATCACACACGTCTGAGGGCATTGGATCCCTTATCAGCTTGTAGGGATAACGCTAGTATCTACTTCCAGGTTGGTTGAGGGTTAAATGAAATAATTCTTGTAAATAGCTTCTGTTTTATAGCAAACAGCCTCCTCTTGTCCCAGGGTGGCTCTGCCTTTCCATGTACACTGTCCCAGCTGGCTCTGGGACTCTTTGCTTTTGTTGCAGAGATTATTGCAGCTTCCTCCTCTGCTTCTAGCCCTTGGCTTCTCTAATTAGTCTCCTAAACCTGGAGTTAGGAGGGTAAACCCTGTCACTTCCAAGCTGTATGACCTGGGCCAAACCACATATGCAGTCTTTGTTTGTTTTGTTAATCCTCAGTCGAAGATTTTTTTCCATTGATTTTTATTTTTATTTTTAGAGAGAGTAGAAGGCAGAAAGGGAGAGGGAGAGAGAGAAACATTGTGATGTGAAAGAGACGCATCCATTGGTTGCCTCTTGCATGCTCCCTGATTGGGGCTGGGTATCGAACCTGCAACCCAGGTACGTGCCCTTGACCAGAAATCGAACCTGCAACCCTTTGGGGCCCAGGCCCATGCTCTCACCACTGAGCCAGGGCCACAGGGTCTTTGAGCCCTCTTTTCCTTGTATGAAAAATAGGGATAATCACACCTGCCCTACTTATCCTTGCTGTGAGAACTCGGTGAGATTATGGATGTGGGAGCCTTTCTGGAAGCTGCAAAACTCTGAACACATAGGAACTATGGCCTTTGGTTATCTCTATGACCACAGCTAGCTAGGTCTTATCTTCTGTGTGGGTCAAATCCTTGTTTTCTGTTTCTATATCCTTTCCTGGTTTTTCCAGATTCTCCCATTTCTCGTATCTTTTCTAACTTCCTGCCCTATGGTCCATATCAAGATGTGATCTCAGGTCTTTGTGTGGCAAACAGAAGGTCATTTTCTTTTGAGGGGATAATTTAGTCTGTAATCCAAACAAGTGTTTTACTTTTAAAAAAACTTTTCTGTTTTTGTTTTTAAAAAAAATATAACAATTCATGCTAATTAAAATGTTAATCGGTGGAGAGATTAAAAAACATTAATAATCTTCCCTGTCCAAGTAGTCAGTGTTCAGGTTACTATGTAAACATCTATGTTTTTTCCTATTCTTTACAAATGTATTAAAAAAATATGCACATATATTTTTCCCTTCATTTTTGTTAATGAAATGAGACCTGTGAGCTCTTGTACATTACAACCCAATCTTTCTTTGATCTTATAATATGTTATTGGGGAGCCCTAGTACACTGCTGGTGGGAATGCAGACTGGTGCAACCACTATGGAAAACAGTATGGAAGTTGCTCAAAAAATTAAAAATGGATTTGCCTTTTGACCCAGTGATCCCACTCTGAAGAATGTATCCTAAGAATCCTGAAACTAATCAGAAAGAATATATGCACCCCTATGTTCATAGCAGCGCAATTTACAATAGCTAAGATCTGGAAACAGCCCAAGTGCCCATCAGTAGATGAGTGGATAAAAAGCCGTGGGACATTCACACCATGGAATACTACGCAGCTGTAAAGAAGAA